TTTCAAACTCTTAGAAACATTATTATCAATCCTAACTCCATTAGGATTTAAGAGAATCTTCTAGAGTATTCTAGAAGACTATAATCAATCCTAATAACTTTAGGAATGATAATTAATAATAGGCTCTCCTCTAAATCATTGGGCCGCATATAAAAACCAAACCGGGTCCAATTTAGTATTTTGGCCATAACTTCCTCATTATTCATCGAAATTGGGCTTATAATATATCGTTAAAAAGGTCTTTTCAAGACCCATCCTACTACACTATTGTTATACCCTTGTTATGGACCAAACTAAATTGGATTGGCTATTTTCATAAAATAGGTTTTCGAAAACAGAGAGAAAGAATGGAATTTAAATAAAAACTAACCACAACACTAAACTTTCCACACTTTCACTCTATTCGATTATGATTCGACGTGAAAGGTATCATCACCGGGTTTGATTTTGGGGAGACACAAATGGGTTTCTATAAGAGGGGTTAGAATCGAGTCGTGAGGGTAAGAGGGGCCAAAATCATGGAGGGAGAGTGAGGGAAGGTACCCCATAATCTAGAATGAGGCAGGGAAGGCGGTCGAAATTAAATTTGGTGGTTTCCAATGAGGAGGGTGGGGCTGGGAAGAGGGTTTTTTTTTTGTTTTTTTAGACAAATACACATGTAACATGTATAATTTTTATTTTTTTTAAAAAAGGTTTAACTTGTTCATCAAGTCACTAGTTGTCCAGGCCACATAAAATAAAAGAAAATGGTTGTTAAAGATCATATTATAAAATTATAATCATTAGGTGATATTATTCAGGTAAAATTGTTAAAAGTTTTGAACATTAAAGTGATGGAAGTTCGCATTTAATTGTTTAATATTGGTTACGACTTACTAGTAAATTACATTCAATTTAAAAACAATGCCATATAAACTAGTTTTGGCTTACTTAAAGAGGGTAACTATGTTGATAAATTATAGATTACTTTTATTTAAACTAGAATAACTTTCAATTATACTAAGGTAACTTTTGATAATTTTTTTTAGCAACTTTATAGCAAATGGACAATATTTATTGTACACTCAATTATTTAAAGTCAATACATCTAACCAACATAAAACTTACTCATTGCATTTTCTAGAAAATAAAACTTCACATGCATCCAAAATTCATTGCATTTTCTGAATAATATATTATATTTGTTACACAAAATTTGTAATATTGCTGGTCACATAGAGTGGTCCAGGTTATTTGGTCAGTTAGGGGTTAATCGATCATGAATTACTAAGTTGATCAGGAGTTATTCAGTCAGGATTTACTCAGTCGGTGAAGGGTTACTTGGTCGATCAGGGGTAACCCGATTAATGTTTTAGTGTGTGTCAGCTTACCACGCGGTGTGACTGACCACTCTAAAAATCTTTGGTCATGTTAAGTATCCTTTAATTTTATTTTAATTGCCACAAAAATAATCTACTATATATACATAATATAAAAATCAGCAAATTGGCCTCAACATTTTAAACTATGCCTTGGGTGCACCCAACACCCTATACTTTGCTTAATGGATAAAACAACTCAAACTAATGACTTGGGTGTAAAACGCACCTTTAGTGAAGTTTTTTGACCATCATTATCACCGGAGCCAATAAATTAAATTGATAGTTCATAGTGTTGAGACCAATTTTCCATATAAAAATTTCTATTATACTACAAATAATATGGATAAATAATTTTACGTAATAGTATTAGTAACCTAGCTTAACCTATAATTACATACTCCCTCCGTCCCCAAAACTTCGATCCTTTTGGGTTTATTTTATGGTTATTAAGAAACTTAAATAAAAGAAATAAAAACATATTGGAAAGATAAATTTACATGGGGTTTGTAAGAAAGTAGAGAGATAAAGTTTTAAAAATACATGACAAAACAAAATTTATATGAAAGCTAATTTTGCAAAAATATTATTGTAAATTGGTGGGTATTTTAATGCAAATAGATTTATCATTTGAGGACTAAAATAGGCCAAAAGGGTCGAATTTTTGGGAACGGAGGAAGTAGTATAATACCTTCAAAAACAAGTGAAGAATTAATTACATATATGAACATATAACAATATGATGTAATCAATGTTTTACGTAATATTATATTAGCCTTGGGACCCTAAATCTAAACCATTCATAAAATAATATATATATATATATATAATCTTTTGTAGTTGACACCTTTCCATTATCACGTTTGCTAACGCATGTTTTTAACGATTAATATCTCTAATTATCAACATTGTAAAATTATAAAATGTGGATATTAATAAAATATACACTGAAACGATTCAAACAAAACCCCACATGAATATGTTTTATCCTATCTATAAACCACAAAAGCGAGTCAAAACATGTTCTGTGAATAGTGTAAAATTCAAACGGTGTCAATTAAAAAAAACGGAGGAAGTATAACCATATCTTATTTATACTCCTTTGTTTGAATAAGTGTAACACTTATCAAAAGTGCTCGTGTTTTAATTAGTGTTAAATTTTATTTTTTGGCAAAAAGCTACATATTAATATTATATATATACTTCCTCCGTTATTTATTACTTGACCCGTTTTGACTTTTAGACTATTCACCACCCCTCCTTTGACCGTCTTTTGTGAATAATATGTAACGAAAAATATATTAATGTATGATTTTTTTGGATTCGTCTCAATAAATACTATCATAATATATAACTTTTATAATTTTTACTTATGGAGAATTTAAGTTATTAATCGTTAAAGTTTTTCATTGGCAAATGTGTAAAAGAAACAGGTCAAGTAAAAAAGAACAGAGGAGTATCTCTTTTCTCATGGTCACCACCTAAACCCACTACTATTTTTTCTTATTATTTTCTCTCCTCTCACATTCATTACTTATCAATAAATTATTAACCTACTATCTTTCTTTTACAATTTTTTAATACTTCACTTACCCCACTTACCTCTTATTTTATTTAAGACAATTAAATTTCCTGAAATTATATGACGATAAAAGTATAACACTTATTAAAACACGAACAGAATAATAAAAAAATCTAAACATGTGAAAATAAGGTGAATTAAACAAGAACTTAGGACCTGTTCTCTTCACCTTAATTTCGTTTCAATTCATTTCATTTCAATTTAGTTCCTAATTTTATTCTCTCATAAACAATTCAGTTCAGTTCACTTCAGCCCAATTCAGTAAATCAGAACATAACCTTAGGCCTTGTGTTAGTTCACCTTATTTTTAATTATTTCATAAAAAATAAGTTCAGGTTAGATCAGATCAGAAAAATAAGAAAGTTAAGATCAGATTATCGTTTTATGTGCAATTATATATCTCCTATTATGTTTAATTTCGTAATGAAAAAAATTATGAAAATTATATATTAATAAAATAGACATTATTACGAAAAGGGGTGGCAACGGGTCGAATCTGGACTAGGTCCGGATGGACCAGTATCTAAATCCTTTTTGTAACAAGAATCCAGATCCGACCCGGATCCATCAGGTCTGGAAAATGGAGACCCGGATCTAGATCTTATGGGTCCAACGGATATGGGTCTGGATCCGAGTCCAATATATTTTGCCTAATTTTTTTTTTCTATAAATGTTATGTTTGAGTAAAAAAAATGTATTTCAAACTTTCGTTAGGGGTTATTAAGTTCAACCTAAATTAAAGTTATAAAACTAATCTAAAAATACAAAGTAAACACCTTATACACTTATATTTTTAAATAAAAATTATAAACAACGAAAAAAGTACGATGTTACAAATGAGCAAGTGACAAAATAACGATGATGTATCCGATATGAGCATCCAAAATTCATCTCTTGAAAGGGCTAATTTTTATCACAATTAACATCATCAACATTTTTAATAAAAAACACAATTTTAGTTTTTTAATAAAAAAAATTAAAAAAACGGGTAAACAAACTGGGTTCAAGTCGAGGGGCCAGACCCGAACTCAGATCGTTTTTTATAGCAGGAACCAGATATGACCAGGATCTGATGGATCCAAATTTTGAAGACCCAGATCCGTGAGAAACGAATATGGATCCAGGTCAGGTCCAGATCCACTGCCATCCCTAATTACGAATCTAACAAAATCACACTTTATATAATTTTTCCTTATAGATTATCATACACTTAAGGTAAAAATTTGGTCAAACAGGACAATTAGATCATATCAGATCAGACCGAACCAAATCTGATCAAACCAAACCAGATCAAATTAGCTAAAATAAGGTGAACTAAACAAGACCTTACACATTACTACTATGTTTCTAGAAAAAGTACTACCTCTGTTTCTTTTTAGTTGACACGTTTTGACTTTAGCACTATTCATCTACCTTTCTTTGACTGTATTTTGTGCTTTATACGTAATGAAAAAAATAGTCATGTGGGGTCTTGTTAGATTTGTCATGTTATATACTTTCAAAATATCAACTTTTCATAATTTTTGCTTATCAATAATTAAAGATATTTATGATTGAATAAGTGTATTTACAAACGTGACTAAAGAAACGTGTCAACTAAAAAGTAAGAAAGTAGAACTCTACATGCATTGAAAATTCATGAAAATTACTACTTCATCCAAGAAGTAAAGATACTACTTCATGAAAATTACTACTTCATCCAAAAAAAAAAAAAAAAAAAAAAAAAAAAAAAAAAAAAAAAAAAAAAACTCAAGAAGTAAAGATTAAAGACTACTCCATTTAGTTTTAACCAAAACGCGCGTAGGCTGACACACCCCCGTCTTTAATAAACAACCTAACCCCACCATCAATTCCTACGTCCTCGTTTCAAACCTAAACTTCATCAAAACAAATCTCAACTCACCCCTTTTGTTTCTATTTTTTCAAACCCATTCTTCCTCTAATCAACCACTTCCCATCAATAAAAAAAACCAACAAACAAACCAAGATTCAACCCTCAAAACTCCATTACAATCAAAACCAAACTTCAAACCCACAAAATAAAATACAAACAAAATACAATGATAGAAGAAGCAGCACGGGGTCCGCCGCACGGCATTCTACTAGCAGCAGTAGTAATCCTCGTAGTTTCCGGACCCATGTTAATCGGTGATTGGGAAGCCATTACTGAATCAATCTCCGAGCTTATAAGTCCCATTGGACTTCTTCTACTACCAATAATACTTCTTCTTATAATCCAGTTTCTATCTTCGGATCGCGGTAACTTCTTCACTTCAATCTTTACTGCTACTGGTGAACCCGACTCCATTCACCTTGCTAGTGGCTCTCCTTTCGGGGTCGCTCTCGTTCTTGCTATCGTCCTCTTTCTTGTTTACAATCGTATGTCGCTCTTCGGCGGTGACGATGATTCTGATGATTGACTATTACAGTAGATCTGATGAAAATGTGTTGGTTTATTTTGGGTTGAAAAGTAGTGGGATCTTTGGGTTAATTTTGCTGTTTTTTTTTTTTTTTCTCCTTTTTGCTTTTTGCTTTTGTTTTGTATTCATTTTGTCGTGAGTTAATCAACTTAATTTAATGCATTTTATTATTTCGATTGTGCATAGATAAATTTTGTAAGTGTAATAGTGAATTGGTAATAGTTTACTAGTAAAAGATGTTTGTTGTTGTATTTAGTATGAAATTGGAAAATTAATCATACACGGTTGGAAAATTGGTATTGCCTTTTTTGGTAGGATTTTTACTTTCGGTTTTGATTTACACATCTTTATTTATTTCTCAATAGTGTAATACTACCTTCGCTTCGTATTACTCGCAACAAAGGTGTATTATTTGTGAGATATAAAATATTCGTTTGTTGCGAATAATTCGAAGCAGAGGTAGTAAGTGATTATTGACGGATTTTGAAAAATTGAAATTGAAATTTATCTTTATTCATTTGTGAATTGTGATGATGAATTTTGGAAAATTGGAATTGGAAATTTAATTTTGCCCGAAAACAGTAAAATAAGTAAAATGACCAAGATTTGTGCTCGGCCCCGGTTTATTGTCCGCCTATAAGCTATAACTCTCTAAGTAAGCACTAAAAAAAAAATACAATATTGAACATTTTGTCCGCCTATAAGCTATAACTCTCTAAGTAAGCACTAAAAAAAATACAATATTGAACTTTTTTATTCTCTCTGTGTTTTTTTTTAAGTGTTACACTTACTAAATTCAGTCGTATTTTAATAAGTGTTACACTTTCTTTTTTTGCAAAAAACTATTCCCTCCATTTTTAAATACTTACTCACTTTCCTTTTTCGGCCGTTTTTATATACTTGCTATATTTATTTTTTTGGAAATTTTTTACAATATTTAATTCATTCCTCACACTTAGTGGACTCAACATAATACTCTCTCTCCTCCTATTCTTCCACTACTTTTGCTTTTTACAATTTTTTATTTTCTCAACTACCCTACTACATCCATATTTTATTACTTTTTCCAATTTCTCCTAAAACTCCGCGCGTGGAGAAATGGAACAAATATTTAAAAACGGAGAGAGTATATTAAAAAATTATATCTCTCTCCTTTCATGATCTCCACCCAAACTCACTACTATTTTTCATTATAACTTTCCTCACATTTATTATTTTTCAATAAAATATAAACCCCACTATCTTTCTTTTACAATTTTTTAATATTCCAACTACCTCACTTACCTCTTATTTTATTTAAGTCAATTAAATTTCCTAAAACTATGTGCCGATCAAACTATAACACTTTAAAAAATACGGAGGTAGTAATAATGTTCTAATGGTATATGTCGTATATAAATTGTGACATAATTGTCATTTTTATTTTTATTTTTTTGAGGAAACAGAATTGTCAGTCTTCATTACTGCTTCATGTTATTTTTCTACTACCTCCGTTACAAGTTATGTGCAACGATTTAACATAAAGCAGAGAGAAAAAATGTCTAATCGTTGCACATAACCTGTAACGGATGTAGTAATTTATCTTTTCGGATAGCAATTTTTTGGAACAATTCAAACAATAACTGTTTTTTTTTTACTCACAATTCAAACAATAACTTATGTGATTGTTTTCTTATGATCAAATTGATTGTGTAAATATTTTTTTTTGAAAAAAAAGTCAAAATTGACCAATTAAAAAATAATTGAGTACGGAGTAAGGCTTATTATTACTTCCTCCGTCCCATAATACTTAACATTGTTCCCATTTCATCTTTTCGTCCGATTTCAGAATACTTGACACGTTACTAAATATGAAATTGAATTACTCTCTCCGTTTTTTTATATGCATCACTTTCCTTTTATGGGTGTTTTTTTTTATATGCATCACTTCTATATTTGATAAAATTATACTATATTTTATTATTTCTCTCTCTTACTTTAAACCCCGCTCAAATTATTTTATCATTTCTCTCTCTTCTATGTCCCCACTTAAATAATAAAATATATATTCTCTCTCACGTACTTTCTCTATCATGTTCCCCATCATACTTTTATTATAATAATTTATTCACCCACTCACAATATTATATTTATCTCCTAAAACTATGTGCATTCCCAAGTGATGCATATAAAAAAAACGGAAGGAGTACTACTAAAAAATATTTTCCCACATTTTCTCTATCCTCATCTACCCCACTTGTTCTATTCTTACAATATAAAAATACAAAAGAGAATCTTTCATATAATTAACAAATATTTTTAAATGGACTAACTTGTAGTTTTCTTAAACTATGTTTCCACCTTAGCGTTCCAATTATTATGGAACGGAAGGAGTACTTCTTAGGGCATGTTCTCTTCAGCTTAATTTCAATTCAGTTTAGCTCTAATCAGTTTAGTTCAATTCAATTTAGCTCTATTAATAAATCAAAACATGCCCTTAGTGCCCACCTAAATGTCCCAAGTACTATGGGAAGGAAGGAGCACTTTTTATCTTTTTAAACATATTGAGAATTTACACTATTTGCAAACATTTTTTTAACTCCTTTTTATAATCTAAATATTATGTGAAGTATTGTTACTACCTTCATTTTTTGTCAATGTTATAGATAAGAGGTGAGTGGGGTAATAAACTACTAAATAAGCCAGAAAATATACAAAAAATTACTTTATTCTAATAATTTATACCATCCTAGATTTCTTGATAATTTTACAAGTCTCTCATATTAGTGACAGGATAGGCTGATTGTAGGCGTCGTTTGAAGTGCGCGTACTTTATCATGTTGTGAATATGCTTGACACTCATAGGAAGTGGGAATTGACATAATACGATTAGAGACAAGGAAAGTAGGGAGCCGCCAACAAGTTTTTTAAGAACTTGTAAATCGTTCACGGATCATAAAAAGGCAATCACGATAAAGGATAAAAATAGGCAATAACGATTAACCCGTGAAGGTTACACCCCATAATCCATGAGATTACTTAGTCCTTATGGTTCGGAACTACGAAAGGAGGATCGGGGATGATGGTATGAAGTGAGTCATGGAGTCACATTAGCCCATATTGGCCTCTACTCGATTCTTATAATGAAAAGTGATTCCTGCGATCTCAAAGGCATGCAAACAAAGATTCAATTCGCTCGAAACTATTATTATGCTAAATAGGTTGACTATTAATGCAACACATAATTATATAATATCGTGATCTCTATATTTAATAACAAGATTAAAAAGCAACCTAAACCGGTCGTCCAAATTATCTTATTAGACGTGAATTTCAATTACACATTCCTTTTAAACATGCAATATGATGATCAATAAATAATATAATAGAATAAACATTAGTTTTGGAAGCAATTTAACAATAAAAATGTTAGTCAAATTTAATCATAATAAACCTAATCATGATACCTGCAACAAGAATAAAATTAGATAAGAGTAATTAAGTGATTAATTACTCACTTTCCGCGTTTCCTTGAATTGCTACATCATAAATAAACTGCTAATAAATTCAATAAAAATAAATCAAATTAAAACAATTAATTTAAATAAAAAGCAGAATTGATTTGGTCAAAACCCTCAATTAATTCTACCTTTCACGCCTTGGTTTAAGTATACAACTTTGGGTCAAGTATGGACTCCTTGGAGTTATTAAGGAAGGAATAATGTAGTTAGGAATATAGGTTTAAGGCTTAGAATATGAGAGAGAGAGAAGAGAATGATTTTTGGTGTAGAAGAGAGGAAGAGAGAATGATTTGGTGATCAAGCTTATTTATGATTAAAAAAAAAAGGGTGATATAACCTCTATTTATCATGAAAAAAAGAAGGGTTGAAGAATCAAGAAAATATCGAATTCGAATCGGAATAAAACTCTTGCGATAAACAATCATTTTTGCGGTTTTTGTTTTTATCATATCTTTTGATTCAGAATTCGAAATAAGAAAAATAATACGTCGTTGGAAAGATGTTGAAGTCTACTTTCTAAGACAATTAGAATCATATTAAAATCCTTTTTAGATTAAAAGACTCTCTATATGTGTCACCTCTTTATTGACATGCTTAAGTTGTTCTAACTTTGTGCGTTCAAGAACTTTTCTACACATGTCTATTGTTTTCCCCAATGTATTTATGAAGATCAAAACGTCTTCTCTAGTGGCAGGTTGTTGATTTGGGGCCCAATTACTCATGGCATCAAAAAATATTTCCTCTTCCTCTTCAATGGCATGAATTTCTTCGACTGGTTTGATTAGAGATGAGGGGTCAACACAATTTTCTTCATCATAAATAGCCAAGGAATCAAAAAGGGAAAAATTGATTATAATAATCCCACCTTTGGTCGGTTCGATGTTAATAATCCCACTTTAGATTTTTATTTAATAATCGCACCTTTATAAGGGATCTTCTTCTATTGGTCCTTAACCTGTTGGTGACCATTTTTGATAGGTTAAGAGGCCATGTGTTTTTTTTAATTAGTTGAAATTTTTTATTTAAAAAAAAAAGTAAAAAAAACTGAAAAATAAAAAAACTAAACCCACCAATCACCCCCACCCACCCCCATCATGAACCCTAACCATAGCCTAGCCCCACCTTAAACCGGTCGGCCGCCACCATAAACCACCGAAAACGGCTGGCCGGAACCCCCCCAGTACCGAATTCATCCCCGCCGACCAAAAGCACCCCTCGAATACCACCCTCAAAACAACCATAACCACCACAAACACCATCCTTTTAATCCCACCCAGTGACAAGGGAATAAACGCGTCGTCAATTGTCTATCCCTAGATCAAATACAATTTATACAACCTAAACAAACCTAATACGAGTATAAGGCAAGCATAGGGGTCGAACCACAGAGAACGGATAAACACCACCAAATGTTATCGACAATTAAGCTAGTCCGGAATAGGAGATAAATAATAACTAAAGTCTAAAGATGATAAAACAAGAAATAAAACATTAAGGGAA